CTCCCCCCCCCCCCCCCCCCCCTCCACACACACACAACTTACAGCACAGCCTGCACACATGGTTTCCGGAGACAACTGTTTGATGGGAAGATATCCCCTGATATCCAAGGAATGAATAAACAGCTAAAACAGCAGGTTGGTGTATTTAAGAAAGCTCAGCCAGCTGACAGCTATAGAAAACTCGATCCACCCTCCAGTGTTTTAACAAACAGAGTCCAAAATTCAACGCCAAAAGACGGAATTTAAAACCCTTTCTGACCTTCTACTTGTTACCTGGACGTAATTTAAGCATACTTTCAAAACTTTATGGGAATTAATCAAGTCTCTACAAAATTTAATTCTGCTTGTCCAGTTGGACCAGACGCTTTATACTAGGAAAATATTACTGATATAATTTAAGTGACATATATACAGTATATATGGGCGTCAGGCCAGTGGTTTGTGTCCAATGAAACTGCATGGTTGCCGTTGATAACGTTAAATCCCGCAGTGTTTAATGTCCCATAAAGTCCTTAATCAAGATCCTATATATAGAGTCCGATAGTCCTATGTGGGACATCTAACTGGAATTTTTCGGAAGGGCTTTCCCTGTCCCTTCGACAATATTTGCGGAAACTCATACAGGGTGTAATACGTATATGTTCCATATGCTTTACATAATTTCATGCTGTAGAACGTATCAAACAAACGTCTTAGACAATCTTATCTGGTAGAACGATACCCAATCAGTCAGTCGTTATCAGACGGTTGTTCACAGTTAATGAATATTGCAAAGTCGTGACTAAGGGCGCATTCCCGTAGATTTTAGATCGATCTATCCCCGTGGGGAGTCTCATTAGATTACTGTCAGATAATCCGGCTTAAATGTCCGTTCCGCCTACCACAAGCTGTAAGGGGGTAATTAACTTTCGTGCCCGCTCGGCTTACAGCTATTTAGCGTGAACCCCCAGGGAGTTAGGTCGATCTAAAGTAGATCGCTAAACACACAAGGAGCACAGTACGTTTTCCCACCGTTTAGCGTGAACCCCCAGGGAGTTAGGTCGATCTAAAGTAGATCGATCTAATCTCTGGGAATGGGGTCTTAGATCGATCTTACTAGATCGACCTAACTCCCTGGGGGATCACACTAAATTGTAGTCAGTCGACCGCGCACGGAAGTTAATAACCCCCTTACAGCTTGTAGTAGGCGGGACGGACATTTAAGCCGGATTATCTAACAATAATCTAGTGAGACTCCCCACGGGGATAGATCGATCTAAAAGCTCTGGGAATACGCCCTAAATCTATGGGAATGCCCTCTAATTTACACGCTGTGAGTTTAAGATCTGGAGATATTAATTAATACCTGTAATACGGTCGGTGGTTGTAGTGGTAAAGGAATTTTATCAATCTTATCAAACTGTGCATTGAAACATCAAGCAAAAGGGTCATGAAGGAATACTTGGGAATTAGACATTAAAAACCAGCAGGGTAGCTTGGTTGTGATATGAAAACTACATGTACACTCAGTACTAGTGTGAATATATTCGCGCGCTATTCCCATTGGTTTAGGACACTTTCCAAACAATTAAGGGTCTCTCTTTCACTTTTGTTGTAGCGGACTGTTGAAGAGGAAAGCAATTTGCTGGTACATTGTAGGCCTACATGTACCTGTGTATGTGTACGTGTATACTGTAAACGAGATACTGGTGCGGATTGTCCTCCTAACCACCCGCATTATTTGAGTGACAGTATTGCAACCAGCTGGTGAGAGAGAGGTAAGTCACAGTATGTAAGGACGACTATGTCGCTTGTTTATCAAGTGAACTACTAAACAGAGTCCCGAAGTTTTGTATAATGCTAGAGCCGGAAAATAATTTAAAGACAACACTTGGTTTCGTCTTGGGCTGCGTTTTCAGTCCGGTGGTTTAATTAATGTTTAACTATTGAATAGCGTCACGTGAACCTTCATAAATTTAACTTTAGTCAGACTAGTATCGTGCAGAGAACTTGAACAGATTGAGATAGGCCTATTCAGACGGCTGATCCGAGACTGACGAAGGTCCTGCAAAACCCAGCCTCACCATGCATGCTCGTAGTTTAGAGGTTTCTAACGGACCGCCCCTTTTTGCCTGGAAAAGGTATACGCTCTGGGTAAAATTTTATCTAGGTACACGAGGGGTTCATGTGAAAAGTCCACTCTTTCAGAAATACCCCCCCCCCCCTTTTTGAAATTGGCCTACAGGCCAGTCTGCTTTTATAATAATAATAATAATAATAATAATAATAATAATAATAATCCGGACAAGGAGCACAGTACGTTTTCCCACCGTTTAGCAATACACGTATAGCGGATATAGATAAACGTAAGCTAATTATAGCATACAAACCATATTATAAATACGAGCCGGGTGTTATTATGAAAACATCACACAGGAACCGGTATCTTCATTTTACAGTTCGTGGTTTTACTGGGACACCCTGTGTTTTGAGGTCTATTCCGAATCCGTCTTTTTCATCTCTCTTCCCGCGCCCTTTTTCGTTGAAAACTCTGGCATTTTGTTCGTGTGATTTTGTCTCTTACACACTTAAAATAAATTTACTTGCCCACTTATGTCCCGATTTGATGTGCCTTTCGATGCACACTAAAATCGGTCGAATCAGGGCATAAGTCGGTAAGTAATTAATTCCTAAAGATAAAAATTAAGGCACTCATTTTGACATCAAGTGGTCTAATAATTTTAGTGATGAAGTACATTTGGCAGGATTTAACATGTAATTACGCTACAGGTTTTCCCTCCCTTTGACAATTAATTATGCCAGTTTACTTCCTGCTGTTTAATACGAGGTATACGGTCAGACATTTTTTTATGAAAAATCGAATTTTCCTCCAAAACATTAATTTTCTTCCCCTTCACAAACCATTGTTTGGTCCCTAGCTCACCAATACCGATCCCTGCACTTGCATTCAATGGCTTATACAGTCTCTAATTAACTTAATAAGTTACGAGTCGTTCTAAATGACTGTCCAGCCATTCTTGGGCCTTTCAGCCGCCATGTCCTCCTTTACATTTCAGAAGGAACTATCAACATCAGCTGCTTTTATTTGCGAGATTTAATTGGGAAAAGTAACTTGCAGATTACAGGATATAGTACATGTATGTAGACATATTAAATATGACTTTTGGGGCATTTTTAAACGCGTACAGTATGCCATTGGCCGCTGAAACTCAGGGTGCTGACAAAAAATGAACAGACACGCTACGCTGAAGATAGTGATTAGTTTTCAGTAACCTCTTCAAGGCGGGGTGGGAGATATAGCTTACATATTTCAGTAACCTCTTCAAGGCGGGGTGGAAGATACAGCTTAAGTTTTCAGTAACCTCTTCAAGGCGGGGTGGAAGATATAGCTTAAGTTTTCAGTAACCTCTTCAAGGCGGGGAGACACAGCAGGATGTGGTAGAGTTTTATTCTGGTTGGAAAATCAGAAAAAAAAAAAAAACGTTGGCAAATACTGCGTACTTCCCAACAACATGACTATAGCTAATTAATGTCAGTATCATTTATAATATCGATCGCTGAACTAAACTTATATTGTTCATCTTTATGCATCATTGATGATGTCAGGAGAGAATATGGAATCTGACGAATGGAATGATTAAATGTTGTTAGCTAACATCGTGTGATCGTAAATGAATAAAACATCCAGGTTCCTAAATTTCAAGGATGCTCAATGTTACATTAATTCGATTCGCTTCTGCGTTGCAGGTTTTTCTATTCTGCATTACCACTGATACCGCACTGAGTGTACCAGCATAATGTCGAGGAGTACACTTTTGTAACGAAAAAAAAAAGACGATGAAAGTTTGCTGAAATCATACATTAACCAGCATTGTTTACAGATAGCAGACGGCAGTTGATTCGCAGCAGACGATCGTACAAAGCAGGACGAAATAACTGCGGGAAAACATATTGATATAGACATGTCTGAAGAGACAGAAAACCCGAGAGCCTCCGATCCTATACGATGTCCAACACCTCGTGAAGGAGAAAAGACAGTGGTGCACCTTTCGTCATATCTATCTGTGGAGTCGGCAGATAGTGAGGCAGATTATTCTGCGGTTACTAATGGCGGTTACACACCATACTGTACGGAAGTACCGGGAAGCTGTGGCGATGCCGATAAGCAGAATGATTTTTCAAATGCAAACGATGCAAAAAGCGACGGTGCCGACAGTGTTTTCGCCGACGCTGAGCGTCAGTCGACAGGAAGCAGTCAATCTGGAGAGGCTCCCAGTCCGTTTGAGACGGCAGACGCCACGAAGATTTCAGCCAGTAACCGGAGAACACAATCCTCTTCTTCTTCTTCTGAATCAGGAGTTAGGAGGCCCTCGCTTGTCGGCGCTTTCACCAGTGCGGCGTCAGGCCACAAACAAACTGGAAACCGCCCTCAGCAAAAGATGGTCCGAAGTAAGTCGACCACGGCGTCGGATCACGCTCACAAAGATGGCCACTACCGGGACAGCATCGCCAGCCGAATACGCCTCGAGCACGCGCGGACACCCCTGCCGGATCCAGGTCCACCACCGATGGACTACTTGACCCCCTTGCAGAAAAAGGACCAAATGATCAAAGATTTGAAAGCGGATCTTAAGGGCGCACAGAACCAACTCGCTGCCATGGAAGCGGACAGAGAGAAACGCGACAAGGAGATGGAGGCCACGTGGAAAGCAATCGTCGACGCCAAAGATCGCGAGATTGAGGACCTTAAATGGCGCCTTGACCAGACGGAATCGGAAAAAACGGCGCACATGAAGAAAAAATGTGGACTTAAGCCAAAAGGTGGTTCAGCTGGAAGATATGATACAGAATCTAAAGGTGATTTTATTTGTATTAAAAAAAGAAAGAAAGAAAGAAAGATTTAAACAGCATCGCCTTTAAGTGTGGCGACTGTTCGTGCATAATAGATAACGTATTTTAGAGCTATATTTATATTTGGCATCTCATAATTAGACCCTAACGTCTATTGTTCACTATACGGGAAAATCTATATTGACAGAAAATCACGTGATCTTGGTATGCAGGTGGCAGAAATTAATCTCCAAGCTATATTAAAAAGGTATTGGGTGAATTGAATTACTTGTATCAAATTATATCGTATTTGTTCCTAAATAATATAATATATGACTGGTATACCAATTTTAGTACATTTAATCACCATTAGCCGGAAAATAAATAAATAAATAAAATAGAATGCTAACGTCAACTTTCAATTTATATAGTGGTGAAATAAGATAATTTTAGACCCCATTCCCATACCTAGATCGATCTAGCGGAATCGGTCAATCTCCGATCGAGGGGATTCTCGCTTAATTGCTTTCAGATTTAGCGGCTGCGATGTCTGGCACGTCTATTGAAGCTGTTAGGGGGTAATTAACTATCGCTTAGCAGCTTCAGTAGGCGTGTCAGACATCTATGCTGAAAGCAATTTAGCGAGAATCGCCTTGGAGGAGGACCAATCCCGCTAGATCGATCTAGGTATGGGAATGGGGTCAAAGTCTCTTCCTTAGATAAGAAATGTGAATTGAAATGATCTTACGATCCATTAAACGGTCCTAGAATAATAATAATCTAACCAGCTTCTCTGCGTTTCTCTTTCGAGTAGAAGACGATGCAAAGAAATGACGAAGAGACGCAGGCGATGTACTTCAAGATGTATGAGAAGGGGAAAGCTAGTGCCGAATTTGAGCGTCAGGAAGAGGTAGTATATGCAGTCATATTCAATATAACCTGGCGCAAACCGTTGGCCATTTGTAACGAAACTGAGGGTCCGTGTAACAGAAACTCCGCCCTCCATATAGTTATAATGGTAAGGGTAAGTCTGACCTAAGTGGGACAAAATCTAGGGCAAGGCTTACCTGTACAAAAGAATGGGAAGCGGACTCTCTGTTATGGGGGACTCACTGTCACGTTACACCGGGAAAACTTGCACACTAGCTGTTGTTCTTCTACTAGCTACTAGCGGCCTGTACAGTTGAGTATATGCGTAAATAAACTGTCAGGATTATGTATATGTGTGAACATGTCATTAAATATGCAAATACATTTTGGATAGAGAGGCCGCATATTTGAAACCATGACCGGCTGAAGTTTTGCTCATCTATTTCAAAACCGTATGTGCGTAAAACTCATAAATTGATGGATCGCATTTGTTTTCTGTTTACGGCTCAACATCAACCTGTTCTACTTATCGGAATATCCTTATTTAAATATACAGTGATCATTTAAATTGGTCACATTTTATTTATTTATTTTTAAAACTAGGTTGAAAAACTTGCCGCCGAGGCCCCCCAAACAGTGACCGATCAAGAGATCCTGCGAAAGCTTAAGCGCACTGAAAAACAACTCGAGAGATGGCAGTCTTTGAAACGGGATGAAATTTACAAGAACGGCGCGCCAGTGACAGACGCGGAGGTCAAGGTCAGATTTATGAAGGACGCCATGTTTCACTTTCTAACCGACTCTAAGGATAGACTACAGCATCTGCGGGCTATGGTGAATATATTTGATTACACGGAAGTCCAGAACCAAGTGATTGCAGATGCCTTGAAGAAGAAAAAGATCGACGTTTTAAATGCAAATTTTGTGAAATGAACGGAGCTGAGAGCAGGTGGTCTTAATAAAATTCAGTTTCAACACCAGTCTCATAGTTTCGTTAATTCTGAATAGTTAAAACCATCCGTGGAAACTTAATTGTGACATTCAAATAATTAAGTCATAATCAAGGTAAATGGGTCAAGGACAAGGCCGACAGTTCTGGCAAAAGTCTCCCACAATTTTTGAGTTGTGTGCATCAGTTATGTACAATGTTATCAAAAGTACTACGTTATCAAATTATTTTTTTAATTGGGAGGTGGGTGGGGTGGGGTGTAGTCCTGCAAATTAGCAGTACTTATTTTATTATTATTTTTTTTTTTTGGGGGGGGGGGTTCTCCAACATTCACAATACTTGCACATTTCTCTGTGCTTATCAATGACATTAAACTTTTTTCTTTCACATTTTTTTTTATTTCTGGGTTTTTCTTTTCTTTAAAACTTTGTACAGAAAATACACCTGAAGGTTAAAAAGTTCTTAACTCAGTCCCAGTTTTAATCTGTACAATTTCTTCCAGTTCTGTACAAACTTCCAGTTGAAGATATTCAGTCTAGTCGAACAATCCTGGAAAACAAAAAATTGAGTACATAAATAAACAGCTCAAATTAAATCTTTGTGATAAATAACAATTCTTAAAAAAAAATATACTCACCCCATATAATAGCTTCGAAATAAAAGGTTATATCACTATTCGCAATGCTTTGGAGTTACGGAGCCCAGCTTACTTTCCAGTAATCTCTTTAACTAATACTGCATTACTAATTAACCAGACTAGATAGCAGCCCCAGTTTTTAAGATTACTAAGTTTGTAAGTGTCCAGTAGACATTGAAACTCAGGTGTGTCATCTGAATACTCACCAAAGCCCATATCATCATCAGACTCCTCTGATTCCTCTTTCTTCTCTTCTTTAGCTGAAAAACAAACCATCGGGTTAGCATCAGTTGACTTCATAAATTATTCTCTGGGGTTTTTGTTTTGTTTTGTTTAGCCAAATCACTTATTTTCATCATTTTTTTTCTCCAAATGCTTTAAATTTGACTAAAACAAATTAGATCAACCCTATTTTGTTTAGCAATTTTAAGTCCACTTAGAATTTGGCTTTATTGGGGAGTGCTAGCACTACATCAGATTCTAAAATTCTATCTAGTACATTCTCAGGGGAAGAGCCTGGATTGTCTGGTCAGACATGTTGCACCTGGCAATCCTGCTGATCACGACCAGTAAAATTTTCATAAAAATTCTGCTCAGTTGATCCAAGGGACCACCAACAATTTAAAGAGCAGTTGTTAAAGTGATAATAACACTTCGTTTCGACCAAAAAATGAATTTTCCTGGAGTAAAAAACAATTTTCCCATACTGACCAATGGTTAATGAATCCATTTTTACATTCAAAGTTAGTCCCTGGTTTTTTTCTAAAAAGTTTGGTTTTTTGTTAAAATCTCTTAAGAGATTTTAACAGAGTATAGCCATCAATGGAGGTCACGTGGTCTAAAGACAAGCTCAGATATCAGAATAATAGCTATAACAGCCGTTTTTGTGGGAAAACAGAATATATTATATTTTTATGAGCCATTCACAATGTTTTTATTGTGAAATACAGATTTCATACGAAGAGTTATTATCCCTTTAATTTTTTTAAAATTTCAGTTAAACTGGGCAAAATATTCTTTTAGTCAGGCAAATTTTTCATAACCATTGGTCCAAATGTCTAGCTGTTTTTGAAAGTTTTTACTGGGAGAGACTGAAAGCTGCCACAAGCACTTCACAATCCTTGTTTGGTCATTTATTTAAACCAGACATGATTTGGGTTGTAAGGATAAAGTAGGAAAAAAATAGGTCAGTGGCCTCAAGACTGAAGGTTTGGGGGGAAGGGATGGTCTCAAGACAGCAAACCACAGTGAAAAAAAATCCTATTTCCCATTTAAATCGAAGGAAAAATCATGTCTGTTAAACCTCGCTTTGACTTGTACTGCTCATCCCCTCACCTTCCTCTTTGGCGGCACCTGCACCGGCATCACCAGCAGCAGGGGCGGCACCACCAGCGGCGGGGGCAGCGCCCACTGAGCTTCCAACATTGGAGATCAGATCCTTGATGTTGATCCCCTCCAGAGCCTTGGAGAACAGACCAGGCCAGTAGGGCTCTACTGAGTAATCAGCTGCCTTCAGGATGGTGGAGATCTTCTCTGCCTGGAAGTAGGTTAACATGATTTAAAATTTGATAGCTGGAAGAGGAACATCTTTTATTATCTCTTTCTCAAGACCCCACCCCCACCATACACATGCCATCTCCTGAGAGAGAGGTGCGCCTATACTGAATAGCAACACACAAACTGCAAAGTGCTCTAATACGCCATCTTCAACATACAAAGTAAAACTGACAAAAAATCATGATTTAGTTAAGGCACTGGAGTATAATGACATATTGCACAAGAGCTATGTAATACCACTTCCATGTACTATGTCAAGTCTCGAGTCAAATCAAGGCAACGGCCTATTGGCTGAGATTTTAAGTGACAAGGCAGGCAAAGCCATACGGGGGATAGAAGACGACGGTTTTCATCGGGTTTGCATGTGAGCAAGGTAAATTTAGGCACTAACTTAAGTAAATATCTGCCGCAGTAGGTACTTAAGCATGTCATGCATGTGAAATGCTAGTTGTGAACACATCAACTTACCGTGATCGGTACATCATCATCAGCAAGAATAAGAGCACTGTAAGTGCAAGCTAATTCATCATTGCTAGACATTCTTGTAGTTTGTTTTTGTTATCCTGTCGGATGGCTTGAAATGACAGTGTATGTCGCCGATTCGGCCTTAGCTCGTTGGAGGACAGTACACTTCTCGAACCAATATGGTGGAAAAGGACGTGACCCGGAAGTACATCTTGAAGGTCAGGGAGCCGAGATATGCAATATCACGTTAATGGTGTATCATTCATAAATAGTCAAGTTACGTACAAAATAAACACAGTTCACTTATATTGTAACTTCTAATACATATGTTATGGGAGAACTTACACAATTTAGATAAAAACAAAGTTATTGCCTAACTACATTGAATCTGAAATTACGATACTGCCTAACTGAATGCTGTAAACGTTCCTCCCCTCTTTACAACCATGACGCTGGCGGTCTCTCGAGGAATCTTAGTGTGCCTCTTGTTGGCGATTTCCAGTAATTCTGCCGACGATGACCATGGGACAAAGGCTTTTAAGTACAACAAAGAGATGTTTGACGATAAGGTTCCTCAGAAAGCGCATTTTATAATGTTCTTCGCGCCGTGGTAAGTTGGTCGACAGGTGGCTCATACATGACTTGCTCGAGTCGAAATGGCTCAATTGGACCTGTACGTAGTGATACTGTTAGGTATTTTTTCACCAACCGTATACTTGGATATCACACACAAATATATACTGAGCCTTTTTGAAAATGCCCTAAAGTCATATTGTTATATCTAATTAAATAACACTAAAATCTATCAGTTACTGATCCCACCCAATTCAAACTTTAAATTAAAATAAATAAATAAATAAAAAGTTCAATTAACATTACCTGATATTGGAACACAATTATGAATAATTTAGATTTTCTTTCCATTTGAAGTATCTAAAACATCCAATCCAAGTGCAGGGATAGATCATTGAATGGTCTGCAAGCAGGGGGATTTTTTTCTTGAAGAACTAGGGGTGCTGTCAAAACATACGTCCCTAGAGGCCATCCTTGGATCAAGTTATTTTGATTATATATATATATATATATATATATATATATATATATATATATATATATATATATATATATATATACACACCAAGAAATGCGTTATTTGGCCTTTAACTCATTACTAGTAGTTTCATTGAAACTACTGAAAGGTAACCTCATGACTGAAGGATTATCCCCCTGAGTTATAAAAAATACAGTGCTATATGAAATATTTTGTAGAGTGTAGATAAAATCTTAATGTTTCACTCAAAGCTTGGCTAACCAACATTGGCATGTCTAGTAACTTGATGTGTTTCATTCTGCTGCATATCTCCAGTCTCAATCAACAAGTTTTTTTGTTGACTTTTTGTTGAGGGAATAAGACAAACAACTGAAGTAAAAAAAAAAAAAAATAGACATGATAAAGTCGAATTATAGGAAGAAAAAAGTAATGGATGAGGAAATGAAAAGCAAATTGAGTGCAAGTAATAGAATAGAAATTAGCATAATAAAGTAACTGTACTAGTACATTAAAGATGGACAACTGTAAACTGTGAGGTCAGTAAGCACAGTCATGGTGATCTTTCACCTTCAGTATGGAATGTTCATAGACTTGCAGCTTTCTTAAAATATTTTAATATGTTAATGTGTGGATGATGATAATAAACTACTAGTATGTATTATATATTGCTTCACATATAAGTACCCTAAGTTCTAGATTTCAGCTTTATAATGCCCTGACACTCAGGGCACACTTATGATAAGTTGTGTATTGTACAACTGGTGAACATTAGATTCCATGCTATATTCATATTCTGGACTATGAGGGCATTAGTGTGATGATTTGTGGTGATTATAAATAATGTAGTCTACTTTATCAGCTCAGCTTCTTATTACTTGTAAACTGCCTTGCATACAGGAACTAGTTTTATCTTCAGTGTAGATTTCAAATCAGATTGGATCATAATTTGATCAAGGTTATATGCCATTTCTCAGGTCGGGTCAACTTAGGGGGTAAAAAATATCCCCCCACCCCTGTCAAACTGCTGACTACAGGTCATTTCATCAGTTTCAAGTATGCTTAACCAGGTGCTAGTTAGAAAATAAAAAAATTTTGAACATATTTGTCATTTACCAGGCCCTTAGCCTGTTTCAAGGTTTCAAAAGAACCACCCTTTTTGCCAAAAAGGCCCACTCCAGATAAAAATTGATCTAATTACAAAAAGGTTTCATGGTAAACGGTCCACAGTAACAAAAAAAAAAAAAGAACTCTTCCTTGAAATTGCGGGCTACAGGCCTGTCTACAATATCAGACTGTCATCCCTTTGATTGAATCCATTAATTAATCGTTAACAGGTGCGGTCACTGCCAGCGTCTCAGTCCAGTATGGGACGAGCTGGCCGTCAAGTTCAACACTGACCCGTCCAGTGCGGAGGTACTGATAGCCAAGGTGGACTGCACTGCCGAGACTGCCCTCTGCTCCGACCAGGAAGTCAAAGCTTATCCAACGTATGTGTATTATTATAGCTACATTATTATTATGTGGGGTTATTTCTCCATTTTGTACAGCCTCCTCCTGTTTTAAGTATAGAGTGGTAGTCCATGATATTGAAGTTTTAAAACTGTTCAGTGTATACACTGTGATTGAAAGCATCATCATGAAGTTTTAAAACTTCACTATCATGAATAACATTATTATGCAGATCAATTTCCATCAGAATGTTAAATGTAGTCTAGCGAGATTTTTGAAAAAAGGCTCTGCATAAGAGGCAAGGGGCATTTTGGGGTAAAAGTTGGGAACCAGGCTTATTAGCATAATTTTGGGATGCTGAATCCGTTTAACCCGGTTCCCAAGCGAAATTTTGCGTTTTTAACGGTCTAATTTGCAAAAAAACAAAATGGCCGCCAGATTTCCTATTTTCTGCAATATCTCTGGAACTAGACAGGCAAATATGACAAATGAAGTGTCTTTACCTATATTTTCGGGGTCGAGGAACATTATTAAGATGTTTCTGTTAAAATTAGATTTACGCAATTTTCCTAAATATGCAAATTAGGATCGCCATTACTGAAAAACCGTTTTACTTCTGTATCTCTGTAACTAGGTAAGCAAACTTGACAAATGAAGTGTCTACACCTATGTTATCAGGGTCAGGGAATGTGACAAATCAGATGTCTTGTCTGATGGGTAGCACTGACTTTGTGAATCGTGTCCGAGTAGCACCTTTTATTGTTTCTTCCCTGTATCTGTCAAACACTAGTCAATCTGCTGATAGTTAGAACCTTACGTACGTGTCAGCCAAACTACCAAAGGTCACTGCATTGTCAGGCTTTCCCAGTGAAATCATCAGTGCTTGCCAATCAATTATAAGGCAAGGTGAGCAGAGGCGGATCCAGGATTATTTGAAGGGGGGAGTCCGCGGATGCAAAGCCCCCCCCCCCCCCCCCCCACACACACACACACACACACTTGGCAACGGGTTAGGGGCCTGTTGAAGGGTCACGAACAATTTTGGTATTTAAGAGGGCAAACGGTGCCATTTGGTATGGTTTACAACTACTGTATGATTCAGCTAGTCAAAATTATAGTTTCAAGAGGGGGACCAGAATTCAAAGGAAGGGGGGGGGGGTCAGGGCCCCCTTGATCCCACTCCCTCTAAATCCGCCACTTGGTTAGGAGTCAATCAGTTTAATTTCATCAGGGCAGAATACGTCTTCTGTTAACCTTTCTGTTACAGATTTGGTCTCAAAGAAATCGTTTAGAAGCTTGAGAAACTGCTCAGACTTGCTATTAACACAGAAATGTTTTCCGTATCGTCAATCATTTAATTGGAATCAATAGAATATCAGAAGATTAAAGTTAAAATTCAAGAAATTTCGTTAATTAAAATGAAACGATACCAACGGATAACCTAGTAATAAGCTAATGGAAAAATCACTGAAATGGATGAGGTGAGATGTCATCGTGTACTTAAAGTATACACATACATATTGACATTTAATATGGAATATTTTAGTTCAAAAGCAAAGTGTTGATAATAAGTAAACTTTTTGAGAAAAATTGATCATATACGACAATTGTGATCAGGTATATGTGTAGCCAGGTGTGTTGGTTATTGTTCATTAGGCTGCTTTCTCTGAAGCGCGGTTATATTACGTAATATGTGGCAGTTTCTCTGAGCAGTCCTCTTTGGCTGGTTACAGAATGCGTATAAAAGGGCAGCAGTTCTGCGGAATAAGTCTCTATATTTCGGCAACATCCAGTCAAATAGTTTGATATTTTGCAGACTGTTAGCTGACCTTACAGTATGTGAACTAACAGCAGCAACTTGCCACACCATTGTTGCATTATGCCAGAATGGACTGAAGCAAACTGCTATTGCCAGAAAGCTGCATGTGTCCCAGGGAGCAGTTTCTAACGTCTTACAGAAACACGCCCAGACTGGTGCATTAACACAGAGACCACGGCCAGGACGTCCTAAAGTCACCACCAGAAGGGAAGACCGCTTGCTTCTGCGGTTATGTCGCAACAACCGGACAAATACAACTCTTGCTGTAAAAAAATGAGTGGCAAATTACCATTCAAAAGCATGTTTCTAGAGCTCTAGTGAATGCAAGTCTACTTTTAGTTGGTTACCTCTATTAACAGAGCAACACCAACGTCTGCGTCTGTGGTGGGCTAGACACCATTTGCGGTTCCAGGCACAGCACTGGGTTCATGTAGATTTTTACAGATGAAGCAGGGTTTTAGTTCCACCACCGTGATGGCTGAATCAGTCAGTAGGCTTTCAGACGAGTTACTGCACGAGGATTGTGTCACACTACAGTGACTTGTGGCCGTGGCAGTATCTGTGTCTGGGCCGGTTTCCACACTGGAGCCAAAACACTATTGGTGACAATTGATGGAAACCTTAACCAGATAAAATAAAGGGACATTTTAGAAAATACTTGCTTGCAATTTGCAAGAAGGTACTTCCAGGACAACTTCATCCTGCAAGATGACAATGCCCGACCACACCGTGCCCATGCAATAACTGCTTTTCTGCAAAACCAAGAGGTAAACCAGTTGCTTTGGCCGACGGAATTCCCCTGACATGAATTCTATAGAAAACCTGTGGGCATAAATCGCTAGCAGAATCAAGAGCTTACCCGTCCAGCCAACAAATCGGCACACGCTTAGGCAAGCTCTGACTAATGCGTGTAACACAATACTGGATCAAACTCTCAGAAACCTCTCTGCATGGATCCCTCGCCGAGTGAGGGCTCTGGTTGCAGCTAGAAGAGGCTGCACGCGTTCTTATCAGTTCCCATTTTTCACATTTGTCTTGATGACTCTGTTGTGTAAGAGAAAATCCTTACCAACTGATATTCTTGATAATATCGAGTTCATAAGTATTTAATACCTTGTTGTTATCAGCTGTAAAATTATCCATGCGCTGTTTATAACGCTGATTTGAATACGTATTTAAATTAAATTTTTGATGATGTATTCACACGGGTTGATTTATTAAAGCCATATGGAACATGATAACAAGTGTTTTTCATCCATCAATAATATATGGGAAAAAATCAAAGAAAATATGTTTGAAAAAAAAACTCCATTTAAATGTCAAGTCCATACATTGCATCACATGAATTACTTGATTCAGCAAATCCCTCCATTGCATTAATAAGGAAATCTTTTTTTAAATCTAGGTAAAAGGGGCAGTTGTGTGATCCAATATGTTCACATCCCAATGGCAGCGCAGTATTTAATTGCGAAATTCAATTCAGATTCGAATAATTGCTACAGTGTCACAGTGTAGCACTCATTGCTGATTTGATTATAGTGAAAATGTCTTAACCACTTTCCCTAACGCTGAAAACATAGGTGTGGGCACTTCATATATCATGTTTGCTTGCCTAGTTAACGTAAGAGCAGTTCTGAAGGCAGGTTCTAACTATCACCAGATTGACTTGTGTTTGACAGATACAGGGAAGAAACAATAAAAGGTGCTACTCGGACACGATTCACAAAGTCAGTGCTACCCATCAGACAAGACATCTGATTTATCACATTCCCTGACCCTGAGAACATAGGTGTAGACACTTCATTTGTCATGTTTGCTTGCCTAGTTACAGAGATACAGAAGTAAAACGGTTTATCAGTAATGGCGATCCTAATTTGCATATTTAGGAAAATTGCGTAAATCTAATTTTAACAGAAACATCTTAATAATGTTCCTCGACCCCGAAAATATAGGTAAAGACACTTCATTTGTCATATTTGCCTGTCTAGTTCCAGAGATATTGCAGAAAATAGGAAATCTGGCGGCCATTTTGTTTTTTTGCAAATTAGACCGTTAAAAACGCAAAATTTCGCTTGGGAACCGGGTTAATCGGATTCAGCATCCCAAAATTATGCCAATAAGCCTAGTTCCCAACTTTTACCCCAAAATGCCCCTACTATTCATCTTTTGTGGAAATCCCACTAGACTAATGGTAGAATGTTGAGAAAGCTGCTGGTTTTAATATATAATTGATGAATAAATGGGGGAATTTAGAGGTGAAGGAAATGTTTGTCTAGACCCATTACTGATGTTGGAGATATATCAGTTGAATTATTATTATTATTGTAAGAAATAGGTATTATAATGATTATCATATTTTTATTTCTTGGTTATAGACCCACTGAGGGAAGAAGTATCAGTTTTGTTTTAATAAGTTTTCTAATATTTTATTTTCATCTCAATAACCTGCCTAAGAAACTCAATATTTCTTTGCAGACTGAAGTTTTTTGGTTCTGCCTCCGCCACATCTTCAGTACGATACAAGGGGAAGAGGGACCTGTCAGAACTGGAGGCCTTCATAACAGAACAGCTGGCTGGAGAAGTAGTAAGATTATTAATTATTATACAACACTGCGTTATTTTATTAGCCTGTTTTCGGTAATGATTCATGCTTTTCAACTGGAGAAAATTGTGGATTTTACAAATTTTGCATTTTATGAAGTTATACAGTTTTGATTTTAAGTTAAAACATTCCTACTGAGTGATAGCAATACAAACGAAAAAGCTAGCCACCCTTAAGTTTTATTCTATATGGTAAATTTAAGCACCACAGACGCTACATAGAAATATGATGTTTTAATGAATTTTTACCCATTGAAAAGATAGTCATTAATATACATTAGCCAGCAGTATAGGGCAGTGAAACTTAAGCTGCAGTACATTGTAGTAAAACATATTTATGGATTTATTCAGTTTCTCTCCTCTGTTTCTGCTGTAAGCCAGTAGATTTTAGAATTGTTCAACCTTATAATGTTAAAATTTTTTTATCTGGACTAGTGAATCCTGATTCAAACCAGTAGATTTTGGGAATGTGGTGGTCGGAATGCCTTGTAAGCTGAAATGATTATGGCACAGACTGGTACTAATGAACTGAAGGCATTCTTAACAGATTTTGGCACTAATTGCTGCTACACTCTCTTTTCTGGATAGAATACTTAAACTTATACAGTATTTTGTTTTATTTTAAAGGCTGAAGCCCCAAAACCACCAGAGCCAAAGAAAAGTTTAGTTGAATTAACAACAGATGACTTCCAGGATAAGATTGCACTAGGACACCATTTTGTGAAATTTTATGCCCCATGGTGTGGCCATTGCAAGCGTCTGGCACCTGTTTGGGAAGAGCTTGCGCGAACGTTTGAGCATGATGAAACGGTCACCATAGCAAAGGTATGCTGAACACGTGTTATTTTTTGTCTAAGGAAAAGAACGTAGTTGAATTTCTCTAAAGCACTTAAACAGGTTGAAACAATTTTGTAAAAGGGAGTATTATTTAGTCTCTTCAAACCTTTACAAATCTTTTCAAAATTTATCTATTTCTTTATTATTTTTTTTTGCATGTTTTTTGCCATGTTCATCTTATAAGTGGTGTATTTTTGTCTTACTTCAAATTTGCCGAGCATCTTTAAATATAAATGAGGCAGGTTCCTTTCTAATACCAAATAGAGCAGTGTGCCTTTGTTTCTTGAATTTTCTCAAGATTTTTTTCTTTTTGAAGGTCTTCCTTCATCCCTGATTAAAGATTGTCTGTCCATATATCAGCTTTATCTGACTTGTTTTATATTCATTTGTTTGCTATAGGTTGACTGCACAGCACACAATGTTGTGTGTCAGAAGGCAGACATCAAGGGATATCCCACATTGCTATGGTACCACAATGGAGTCAAGGTACTGTGTTGCTTCTTTCCTGATAGAATGTGTTAGCAGGGCATTTTCTCTAACATAATTTGTATGAAAACTTATGTCCCTGATGAAGTGTGTTAGCTGGGCATCTTCTCTAACACAATTTTTGTGACAAATCATCTCCCTGATAGAGTGTGTCAGTTGGACATCTCCTCTAACACAATTTGTATGAAAACTCATCTCCTTGATGAAGTGTGTTAGCTGGACATCTTCTCTAACACAATTTGTATGAAAACTCATCTCCTTGATAAAGTGTGTTAGCTGGACATCTTCTCCAACACAATTTGTATGACAAATCATCTCCAACACCTCTGTGGAGAGTTTGGCTCTTTATTCCTCCCTCCTTCCTGCCATATTTAATTATTTGTAAAATTATATTGGCATGTCTTGTTTATCAATGAGAATTGTTTTTTGTTGTGTTTATTTGATCATATCTGTGTTAGTTCAAAAAAAGATGGACACCTTTCAATCATTTATTGTCAATTTTAAAATGTGTAAAAGTTTTCTGATTACTTAGTTTGTTGAATTGAAAAAAAAAAAAAAACAGATGGGTACCTTTTCATTGTTTTTTTTTAGTTGAAAATATGTAAAATATATATATATGGACATCTATATTATATCATTTAGCTGGATACCTATGATGGAGCCAGAACACACAAAGATCTGAAACAGTTTGTGTCAAGAATGAAGGAGAAATCTGCTGACAAGGATGGGAGTGTTGATGGCAAAATTCCAGACAGTGTACCTACGGATCATACTGAGCCCAATGTGAGTCTCTCTCTCTCTCTCTCTCTCTCTCTCTCTCACTTTGAAGTATTTTTCTGATAAGTCATCTGACAACTGTTACAGTAAGCAGTACTTGCTGTTTCAAAAATACTTTTAGTAAATTTTCTTATAAATGTTTTAAATTCAGACTCTCACTTTTGTCTGCAAAACTTGTTTTTCATGAAATTTCTTGATTTTTCCCAAAAATTTTGTATTGCTTTAAAAAATATGAATAAAAATTTATTTCTTTTTGTTTGCTTCATTACATTATGTTTTCATTGTTATTATTTGAATGCTAGGTGGTGGCACAAGCAGTGGGAGATGATAATTTTGAAGAAACCATAGCAACAGGAACAACTTTTGTCAAATTTTATGCACCGTGGTAAGTCTAAGCACCCGTCATATTGTTCATCAAGTGAAGGCAAAGGTAACTGGTTTGAAAAGAAAAGAGAGAGAGTAAGAGTGAATAGACAGACAGGTAGAGAGGTAGACAGAGAGAGAGACAGAGAGAGAGAGAGAGAGAGAAAGAGAGAGAAAGAGGGTGAGAGAGAGAGAAAATACAGAAAGAAATTTAGAAAATACAGAACCTTTATAATATTTATAAATTTATAAAATTTGTCATTTTCCTTCAGGTGTGGTCACTGTAAACGCCTGGCCCCAACCTGGGATGATCTTTCCAAGAAGTTTTCTGATCAGCCCAATATAAAGATAGTCAAAGTAGATTGTACACAATATGGGAACCTTTGTTTAAAGCATGGGGTAAGATGAATACTGTGAAAACTGCATGATTGTTAAGAATAAAGTAGTGGTTTACTTCAGTCAGTCGGTAAACTTGAATTGTTGTTTACTAGTGCCTCCAATATTTCTTTATTTTTATGGTGCTTTTTTCATATTGCACAGCTGAATATTTTTTTTTATGTTTTTATATTAAAAGTCCTGATATACCCCTTTTTGCCTTCGTGTTATTGGTAAAAATTATACTTATGACTTCAAATCTAAAATTGTAGGTATATTAATACATCATCATTGTAATGGATTCACATGAAGTTATTAATGCATTGATGATATTCCACCATTTAGCACAATGAATTTGAGAGTTTTTTTCTTCTTTTCATGCCTCAGGTGCGCGGCTATCCTACTCTGACTCTGTTTCATGAAGGAGAGAAGAAAGGAGAACACACAGGACCCAGAGATCTGGAGACCTTACATTCCTTTGTTGTCAACAACAAGCCACATGATGAACTCTAGAATTATCATATAATGGTGGGCAGGTTGCTAGACACCAGTTACACATTAAACCAGTTCTAAACTGTAGGCTACCAAGGCTAATAGTTCTAAAGTCATGTATACCAAGTAGTTGCTATGGCCAACAGTTGTAAACAGACTCGGTTACTATGGCTACCAGTTGTAAACCAACTCTGTTACAGCAGCTTAAAGTTCTTAAAAGATTCAGTTGCTATGGGCACCAGTTATGAACTTAATATATAGTTGCTATGGACACCAGCTCTTATCAAATTGTTTTACCATGACAACCACTTTGAATTATGTAACTATGGCAACAAGGGTTGACTTGATTCAGTTACCATGACCACTTGTTGTGACAATTAGTTCTCTAGTGATTCAGTGACTGTGACCATTTCCAGAACTATTTAGGTTAAAATCATCTTAAAACAAACTCTAGGAAGTATATATATATATATATGTAGCTGAAAGTCAGCTGGTGTATGCAATTCACAACCAGTTTAGAATTGGTTTGGATTTGGTGACCGGTGTCAATGAACTGGCCTTTCCACATGTGTCGGACTTTCAGGAACAGCTGCATTTCTTTTTTTTTCTTTTTTTTCTTTTTTTTTTTTTTTTTTTTTTTTTTTTTGTCATGGGGGAGGGGGGTAGCGTGTTGTTGTGTCTATCAGTGTTACATGTCCGTTTGTAGCAGAATGGGTTAGTTAAGGTCTGTGAAAGCCTTAAACGTGTGTGTGTGTGTGTGTGTGTGCGTGAGAGAGAGAGAGAGAGAGAGAGATGGGTTATGATATAGCAACAGCAGTGTTCATAAGAGATATGAAGGAAGACTGCCATCTTTTGTAAATGTGTTTTTCAATAGTTTGGCATTCATGCGAACTTTTTGATGCCTGTAGAGTGTCAAAAATAGAATACCGAGTCTTTCCAAAGTTTGTACCCATTAAGAATTTGTAGATTTATTTCAGTAACGCTATATATACTCTTTATATTGATATTTCACAAGGAAATTCCAATCTGTTTTACAATGTTTTACAATCCACTCGCTATGGTCTGCTGAAATCTGACCAATGTGACACAGTTGTCCTTATGTATAAATGCATCTAGTTCAAATTACAATAAATTACTACAATCAGGTTTACGTTTTTGTAATTTTATGTCAGCTTGTTTGGCCGAATGACAGTCCATATTTTGATATGAAAGCCAGGTTTGCCAGATTGCACCTTCATAGCAGATACGCAGGCACGCATCCTGCCTATAGTAACGTTAACTTGACATTATTCGTTTTTGCCAATAGGGGAGACCGGGGCTAGTTGGCCCAGTTAGACACTTTTGACCTTGTNCTTTAATTAAGAATAAATTAATAATGTTATAAAGCAGGTTTTTAATGAATGAAAACGAATAATAAATTTTCGTTTTAAAAGAAAGTAACAAATTCAGTTTTAAACCATTGAGTTTGTTTCAACAATGGGAGCGGTGGAAAATCCCCTTGGGGCCACATATAACATTATAAATACAATAAAATCACCTTACAATGAATTAAGGCAAAATAAATGTTTTTCTGAGGAAAGTCCAATGGATTTACTTTCTAATACATACAATCAACAGAACATTTCTAATATAAATTTTCGAAAAGACACCAGAGAGCAAATTAAAAAAAAATCAATCAGACGGTAAACACTGGCAAGCTTTGTCAATTTCACCAATTACTTTTAGGTGCAAAAAAAGTTTATTTGGACTCACCGCTTAATTAAAACTTTTTAACGGCCGACACTTCCTTAGCATTGTAGGCTACGGTTACTTTACAAGAGTATGTGGCCAATTTCTTAACCTCGTAGTTACTTTTTCATAAAATGACGGGGGGCCAACTTAACCCGGGGTCCAACTAGCCCCGGTCTCCCCTATAATACGAGCTGTATTGTCTTTTCTTTCTATAAGGGCAAAATCAAATATGCAACAGACATTTTCACAGTATGATAAATTATTACTCAAAATGTTTTTGAATGAGACATATTAGTTGTCAGTAAAGGTGCAGGTTTTTATTCGTCTGACTGTCAAATTTGGCTCATTCTTGCTTCTCGACAGACGGATCTCCATCACGTGACACGCCAGTCGGTTTCCGGGCAGCGTGTTTCCCGCCAATTGTCCTCATCGTTATTTTGTAGGCCACGTGGGAACCGATGATGACCAGCAACGACTGCTGGGGGATGACGATGAGGTAACAGAACAAAGAAAGTTTGGAGTTCCACAGGTCCACGTGCATCATTGCAAACATCAGCATTTGCGGGATGAATCGGAAGACGAAAAATGACACTGAAATATTAAAAACGAACATTTAGGAAAAGACGGGGAATATAATATGACAGATGACAAAGGGCAAGGCTATATGAACGTGGATTTTCACAGTGTGATTCTGTATAATATTTGGGGAGGGGGGCTGATATCAGATGGTAGTATTTTTTAATATTCTGCGGTTGTCATTATCAGTAAAGGTGGAATTAACCGGATTGTCAAGAAAGACGCTCCACGTCCCCAAGTTTACATTAGAGATCATCATCATCATCATCATCATCATCGGCATTTAAGTTTTGGTCCTGAATAAACAGGGTTGGACCTTTTCCCAAGATGTATCAAGTTGGTAATTAAGAAAAAAGAGAGAGAGAAGATGGGGTTCGCGGAAGAAAAGAAATTAACCGACCATTTCACATTCCGTTTTTCGAATATTTTTAATTGGAAACAACAAGGAAAAAAAAACACGTGATAGACATAAGTACCTACCAAAGTATAAGATGTTGATATTGAGATAAACAGCCGTTCCTCGTTTCCCTAGAAGAGACAGTAGTTTTCTGGCGTGCAGGAAGACATTGGAAAGCTCGCTTAGGTAGTCTATGGCACAGTAAACGTTTATTCTGCCGCATGGCGGTAGTTGTGTTATCGTGATGAAGAAAAATATCTGGAAAAAAGATTGAAAGAAGAAAATGCAACTGCTATCGTTTTGGTAATTTGCTTTGCAAGACAAATATATAGATCCAGTGAAGTCACAGTTATAAATTGTATTATCATTTAATTTAAATTAATTTAATCGTTTAATTCGACATACTTAGACCTCACATGAGAAATTAAATGTTCTTAACTTATAACCGGGTGGTTGTGATATCAACACGCATGAAAATATTAAAATAGGCCTATAACGTTGATTAATCTGGTGTTTTTAAGTGTGTGTGTGTGTGTGTGTGAGAGAGAGAGAGAGAGAGAGAGAGATAGAGAGAGAGGAGGAGGAGGAGGAATTTGAATCTTACCAGCACATGGTGAGCGTACATATCAGTGCTCCCTATCGGTTCATCACTAATCCACATGTCTAGGGTATCGTAAGCAAAATATCCTGGAAATCCGAAAAAAACAAAAAACAAAACATAATTAGGCCTACATGTAATTGCTATGAAGCAATTATGGGGGTTATCATTTAGTATTTAAATATCTTAAACCCGCCTTAAGCTTGCTTCCCACTCTTGGTGCTTGCCTGAATTAAGGAGAATGTCATATGCGGTCTGATT